TCGTAATATTTGGTATTATCCCACTCGACCAAATATTAAAAAAGAAAGGTTTTATATGTTCATTTAATATTTCTATTGTTATCCCTTGAGTTTTATCAAAATTACATGGAGACCTTTACATTTCAAAAGTGATGCTGAGACCCACCCCGAGTATTATTCCACATGCCACACGGTGAATAGACCCAAGATATGGAAATTCAAAATTATATATGTATCTATTTAGTTTAGACATATTCAATTGTGCCCGCTCTATTATTTTATTTTGGTGATATTAATTTGGATTAACCCTCACTTAAATGACTATTAACTTTCAAACAATGTTATTGAAACTTAATTTAATGATATATGACATTGTGTGATATTAAGCCTAATAGCGAGTCTCAATATTTAACAAATTCTACTATTCATCCAATGGTAATATATCATTAGATCTTCAGCAATTAAATCTCACATTAAGTGCAATTGGCAGTATTAATAATTTTTAGACACGTTTCAAAACATGTCCGAATAAATTTTGGATATATTGAAGTTATTTTATAAAAATGAGTGTCATTATGTAATAAATTATAAGTCATAAATGTAAGATTGTTAGCACAATATAAAATATATGTTGAAAAGATTAAAATTGTAATTCTTTCAAATGATAAAAACACATCAGAATCAATTGCAAGCGACAATAATTAGTTTCATTCTTGATAAGAAATTTTAACTATTTTTTATTTATTCATGCAATGTATATCAGTTTTTAACATTTTAAGTTTAATAAAACTTTAAGTATTAAATATGATTTCAGTAAATATGAATTTATAAGCATTTACGATTAATTAAAACATGTTAATATACCCACCATAAAAAAAAAAAAAAAAAAATTTGCCTCCCCCTTGCATACACACTAATTCAAAATTGCCATCGGCAGAAAAACTAATATTTGAATTACATATTTTTTGATATTATTCTGTTGAATTTTTTATCTTTTAAATTCAATTAAATATGATAAAGGTGATTATTTCATTGATGACACCTCCAATCAAGAAGTTTTTCATTTTTCTAATGTTAAAGGGCCCTCATATTATTTAGTCAAAATTGAGAGGGCATCGATGTATTATATCCCAATTTTCTATTCAAAGCACAAGACTAATGAACTCGAAGTCTTTCATCAATTTCTTTAGTTTTGAGTGCTGAAGAAGCAAAGAAGACCAGCCAAACTCCAATGACTGGCCACATTTCCTTCTTTGAAATTCAAGCTCTCTGGACTGTACCCAACAAAACCAACTTGATGGTCCAAGTCCCCAATACCCATTAGCCTTTAGTCTTCCATTTAATTCTTTCCAGTAGAATTAATTAGAGAGAGAGAGAGAGAGAGAGAGAGATTGAGTTACAAAAAGAAGAAGAAAGTTGAAGGAATTATGGCATGTTTTGTGCCTTTTAACAATAGAAATTTGGATATAAGCTTTTTTGTGTTCAAGCCAATTGTGGTATTGGTGGATGATCTTGTGGAAGCCTTGAAACAGTTCTCTGTGTCCACTGAGACACTGGGTTGTGTTCACAGTGCTTTATTGAAGAGTATTCATGGGAACATGGTATATGAGTACTCTCTGCTTCATCTTCTTGATAGATTTTATTTTTCTATTTGTTTCAGATTTATTTATGTTACTTTCAGCTTATTTGAATATGATCATAAGAGAGAATCATAGTTTCATTTTATATGCCTGCAACTTAGTTGTGAACTCTCTCTCTCTCTCTCTCTCTCTCTCTCTCTCTGCATACATAGATAGGTATTGTGATTGCTTCTGTTCTTTATTCAGATCATATGGTATGGTGCTTGGATGAAGGGGTCTAATGAGAACAAGGAGGCACTAAATACAACACTTGTAAGTTGAATAACTACTACAACTCATTCTTTTTCTTTTTGTTGTGTATAAATTCAGAAGAGCTGTCAAGTAAATACATAGTTATATTTTGATATAAGGTCTCAAATCTTCAGTGCTCAAGCAATAACATATTTTTCGAATCAAAGAATCATTGCATCCCTGCATATCTGCATAAGTATTAATCCTCACATCCATTGTCTCATAATAGAGATGGTTTTTGATTCAATCTGCTTAATTATTAACCAATTGGTATACTTTGAGACTAGCTAGATCCCTCATTTTCTAGAACGAACAAGATAATCGCCTAAGAGAGCATCCGAGAAGATTTTTGCATTTATAAACTGCTTGATCAACTCAGTTTATGCCAATTGGCTCAATAGCCCATATACCAACTAAGTTATGAACCATCTAATTGCCTCTCTATTAGCTAATAGAGGTGATGTTATAGAAAAAAGAGGATTCTTGAGTTTTTCCCTCCTGCTGAAAAAGCATTCATTCTTCAGTTCATTTTCATTTCTCAAAATACTTCAATTGGGACACGCAAGAAATATGCTAATTCAGCAGCTTTTTGCTCAATTTCTCGTGGAGTAAAATTCTCATCAGTACGAGTCAAGGGGATGGCCCCCTGGCCTCTGATGTCCATATAAAGGACACGACGAGCATAAATACCCTCTTTAACTTCTATTCTGACAGACTGAATATCTTTTATAAGGAATCGGAGGAAGATGCGACGATTTTTTCCAGGAAATCCCCAACGAAAAATACACACTATTCCTTCTTTTCTATCGAAGCGATCATAACCACTACCTACATTCCACGAAATTGTGCACCACAAATAGGAGCTAATAAAAAGACCGGCGATCCCATAGAAAGACATCACGATCCCTTGTGGAAAAAAAAGAATTTGCTGAGACGGAAATAAAGATATCAAATTTCTACCAAGATAACTAGAAGTTCCAACCAATAAGAATCCTAATGAACCTAAAAAAGGATAATGGCCCACCAGAAATTACTTGCTTTTCGAGACCCCATTATAGGTTCTATCCATATATGTTCTGATCGCCAACTCATACTTGATCCAGTTGTATTTTATTGAAATTGAGAAAAGACCCCAAATGAATTTGACTTTACTCTTTTTGTTTCCGAAGTAACTCTCATCAACTAGCACTAGTTTGATGTGAACCTTTAGGAGTCATTCATCAAATTGGTTAGATCTAAAATCTAAAATAATAACAGACCTTTCATATGATCCTACTATAGATATCGACATACATCTAGATACGCTGACTTTACATTTCAGCCATCCGGCGATCCTGATCTATTTGAAAATAGCTAAAAGTCATTTACCCATATAGCATTTTCTGCAGGCATAAGAGCTTTTCTTTTATGTTCGGTTTTATGTTCGGTGGAAGCCACATGTTATATCATATTCCACGAAATAGATATCTGTGTTATGATACAAGTCTAAGTTTGAAAAAAAAAAAATGGATGAGATTGGATCCCATCGGATCTACACAATCTTGTTTTTTTGAACATGAAGAAATAAAGAAGCCATTGCAATTGCCGGAAATACTAGGCCTATTAAAGGCACAAAAATAGAGGGAAGGTTGAGAGTTATCATAGAATGGGTACCTCGATTTACTATTTTATTTTTACCTGTTTTTATTATTTAAAATGATAAAGATATCTTATAATAATTATAATTAAGAATTGGAATTCTTATTAATTCGTAGATATGGTAGAGAATTAATATCTATAGATAATGCTATAGATAATGAAAATCGAATTCAAAATGAAATTAGTATATATAAGTATATAGTGAGTATATATAATATATCTCTAACTTAGTATATATACTAAGCACAAGGAATGTCGAACTAAATAAATGGACCTATTCATGTTTTTTCTACATGAAAGATATGTATGATAATCGACTTTCATATTATTCTTCTTTTCTTCGTCTTTTGTTCTTGTCTTCTAATTTAATAAAGAAAAAGTTTCTTACAAATTATCGAAAGATTCGTTAGAATCCAATCCAACCGGGATTTCTAGTCAAAATGGGATTCTCGGAAGATATAGAAAGATGTAAAACTCTATTCTATATTTTCATTATATATACATATGTAAGACGGGAATAGGAAATTCGTTTTATTCGCCTAATTTCATGAAAAGAAAAATTCACTCTTTTATTTTGTTGATAGAGGGTTGTTGATTAGTAATCAACAATATAGGTAAAAAAAAAAAGAGTTATCCGAAACTTCTTTCTACAAGTAGATCTTATGTCACCAAATAAAACTCAATTCTTTTTATTTTTACTTGGATTCCTATAAACTAACTACTTGTTTGCTACAAATAAAATAATTGAACTTAATGTTCTACTTGATTGAATTTTGATTCAAAGGAAAGAAAGCGTGGAGCTGAAATAATTCACTTAGAACGCTTTTTAAAAGATTACGTGGTACGATTAGATCGAATAAGCCCTTCTGGAATAAATATTCAGCCGCTTGTGAACCTTCAGGTACTGTTTTATTTAATGTTTGTTCAATTACTCTTTTACCTGCAAATGCAATGTAGGCATTGGGTTCAGCAATAATGATATCCCCCAACATACCAAAACTCGCTGTCACCCCACCAGTAGTAGGAGATGTAAGGATTGATACATAGAATAACTTTTTATTTGATTGATAATCATATAAAGCAGAAGAGATTTTAGCCATTTGCATCAAGCTCAAACTTCCTTCTTGCATGCGTGCCCCCCCGGAAGCACACACTATAATAAGAGGTAGAAATTTCTTAGTAGCGTACTCAACCAAACGTGTGATTTTCTCCCCGACTACGGATCCCATACTACCCCCCATAAACTGAAAATCCATAACCCCAAGTTTATGGGGGGTAGTATGGGATCCGTAGTCGGGGAGAAAATCACACGTTTGGTTGAGTACGCTACTAAGAAATTTCTACCTCTTATTATAGTGTGTGCTTCCGGGGGGGCACGCATGCAAGAAGGAAGTTTGAGCTTGATGCAAATGGCTAAAATCTCTTCTGCTTTATATGATTATCAATCAAATAAAAAGTTATTCTATGTATCAATCCTTACATCTCCTACTACTGGTGGGGTGACAGCGAGTTTTGGTATGTTGGGGGATATCATTATTGCTGAACCCAATGCCTACATTGCATTTGCAGGTAAAAGAGTAATTGAACAAACATTAAATAAAACAGTACCTGAAGGTTCACAAGCGGCTGAATATTTATTCCAGAAGGGCTTATTCGATCTAATCGTACCACGTAATCTTTTAAAAAGCGTTCTAAGTGAATTATTTCAGCTCCACGCTTTCTTTCCTTTGAATCAAAATTCAATCAAGTAGAACATTAAGTTCAATTATTTTATTTGTAGCAAACAAGTAGTTAGTTTATAGGAATCCAAGTAAAAATAAAAAGAATTGAGTTTTATTTGGTGACATAAGATCTACTTGTAGAAAGAAGTTTCGGATAACTCTTTTTTTTTTTACCTATATTGTTGATTACTAATCAACAACCCTCTATCAACAAAATAAAAGAGTGAATTTTTCTTTTCATGAAATTAGGCGAATAAAACGAATTTCCTATTCCCGTCTTACATATGTATATATAATGAAAATATAGAATAGAGTTTTACATCTTTCTATATCTTCCGAGAATCCCATTTTGACTAGAAATCCCGGTTGGATTGGATTCTAACGAATCTTTCGATAATTTGTAAGAAACTTTTTCTTTATTAAATTAGAAGACAAGAACAAAAGACGAAGAAAAGAAGAATAATATGAAAGTCGATTATCATACATATCTTTCATGTAGAAAAAACATGAATAGGTCCATTTATTTAGTTCGACATTCCTTGTGCTTAGTATATATACTAAGTTAGAGATATATTATATATACTCACTATATACTTATATATACTAATTTCATTTTGAATTCGATTTTCATTATCTATAGCATTATCTATAGATATTAATTCTCTACCATATCTACGAATTAATAAGAATTCCAATTCTTAATTATAATTATTATAAGATATCTTTATCATTTTAAATAATAAAAACAGGTAAAAATAAAATAGTAAATCGAGGTACCCATTCTATGATAACTCTCAACCTTCCCTCTATTTTTGTGCCTTTAATAGGCCTAGTATTTCCGGCAATTGCAATGGCTTCTTTATTTCTTCATGTTCAAAAAAACAAGATTGTGTAGATCCGATGGGATCCAATCTCATCCATTTTTTTTTTTCAAACTTAGACTTGTATCATAACACAGATATCTATTTCGTGGAATATGATATAACATGTGGCTTCCACCGAACATAAAACCGAACATAAAAGAAAAGCTCTTATGCCTGCAGAAAATGCTATATGGGTAAATGACTTTTAGCTATTTTCAAATAGATCAGGATCGCCGGATGGCTGAAATGTAAAGTCAGCGTATCTAGATGTATGTCGATATCTATAGTAGGATCATATGAAAGGTCTGTTATTATTTTAGATTTTAGATCTAACCAATTTGATGAATGACTCCTAAAGGTTCACATCAAACTAGTGCTAGTTGATGAGAGTTACTTCGGAAACAAAAAGAGTAAAGTCAAATTCATTTGGGGTCTTTTCTCAATTTCAATAAAATACAACTGGATCAAGTATGAGTTGGCGATCAGAACATATATGGATAGAACCTATAATGGGGTCTCGAAAAGCAAGTAATTTCTGGTGGGCCATTATCCTTTTTTTAGGTTCATTAGGATTCTTATTGGTTTGAACTTCTAGTTATCTTGGTAGAAATTTGATATCTTTATTTCCGTCTCAGCAAATTCTTTTTTTTTCCACAAGGATCGTGATGTCTTTCTATGGGATCGCCGGTCTTTTTATTAGCTCCTATTTGTGGTGCACAATTTCGTGGAATGTAGGTAGTGGTTATGATCGCTTCGATAGAAAAGAAGGAATAGTGTGTATTTTTCGTTGGGGATTTCCTGGAAAAAATCGTCGCATCTTCCTCCGATTCCTTATAAAAGATATTCAGTCTGTCAGAATAGAAGTTAAAGAGGGTATTTATGCTCGTCGTGTCCTTTATATGGACATCAGAGGCCAGGGGGCCATCCCCTTGACTCGTACTGATGAGAATTTTACTCCACGAGAAATTGAGCAAAAAGCTGCTGAATTAGCATATTTCTTGCGTGTCCCAATTGAAGTATTTTGAGAAATGAAAATGAACTGAAGAATGAATGCTTTTTCAGCAGGAGGGAAAAACTCAAGAATCCTCTTTTTTCTATAACATAACTTAAACTTAACTGAACTTTCTTCAAAACGCTCATTCGAACCAAAGAGACATATACGGAACAACCATAAAACGAAACTCTTTTTGTGATCTTTTATACGTATCGAAATCCACACAACTCAATTCAATAAAATAAAAAAATACGTAACAAATCAAAATAATAGATTCATTTCATATATCAAACCATTTAGAAATAAAGAAATTTTTCTTTTTTTTGAAGTCCAATATGTGTTTGTTGGAATTGATACTTTAGATTCAGATAGATCATATCTTGTAAATTATTTCTTTTTTGTCAATCGACCTTTCTTTTTAGACTTTCTTTTATGCTCAACAAATTGGCTCTCTTCTAACGATAACTAGCAAATTTCTGTCTTGTTTTGCCACTCATTTTTTGATCATCATAATATTCTTCAGAAAA